TACACACAGTACACACACACAGTACACACACACACAGCACACACAGTACACACACACAGTACATGTACATACACACAGTACACACAGTACACACACACACACAGTACACACACACAGTACACACAGTACACACACAGTACACACACAGTACACACACAGTACACACACACAGTACACACAGTACACACACAGTACACACACAGTACACACACACAGTACACACACAGTACACACACAGTACACACAGTACACACACACAGTACATACAGTACACACACACAGTACACACACAGTACACACACAGTACACACAGTACACACACAGTACACACACAGTACACACAGTACACACAGTACACACACAGTACACACACACACAGTACACACAGCACACAGTACACACACAGTACACACACACAGTACACACACAGTACACACAGTACATACACAGTACACACACACAGTACACACAGTACACACACACACAGTACACACATACAGTACACACACAGTACACACACAGTACACACACAGTACACACAGTACACACACACAGTACACACAGTACACACACAGTACACACAGTACACACACACAGTACACACACAGTACACACACACAGTACACACAGTACACACACAGTACACACACAGTACATACACACAGTACACACACAGTACACACACAGTACACACACACAGTACACACACAGTACACACACACAGTACACACACAGTACACACACACAGTACACACACACACAGTACACACACACACAGTACACACACACAGTACACACAGTACACACACAGTACACACACAGTACACACACACAGTACACACAGTACACACACAGTACACACACAGTACACACACACAGTACACACAGTACACACACACAGTACACACACAGTACACACACAGTACACACAGTACACACACAGTACACACACACAGTACACACACAGTACACACACACAGTACACACACAGTACATGTACATACACACACAGTACACACACAGTACACACACACAGTACACACACAGTACACACACAGTACACACAGTACACACACACAGTACACACAGTACACACACACAGTACACACACAGTACACACACACACAGTACACAGTACACACACAGTACACACACACAGTACACACACAGCACACACAGTACACACACACACAGTACACACACAGTACACACACAGTACACACACACACAGTACACACACAGTACACACACAGTACACACACAGTACACACACACAGTACACACACAGTACACACACAGTACACACACACAGTACACACACAGTACACACACAGTACACACACACACAGTACACACACAGTACACACACAGTACACACACAGTACACACAGTACACACACACAGTACACACAGTACACAGTACACACACAGTACACACACACAGTACACACAGTACACACACACAGTACACACAGTACATGTACATACACAGTACACACAGTACACACACACAGCTCACCTGCTCACACAGGCGGGCAAACGTGCCTGCCAGCTCCCTGCACACAGTACACACACAGTACACACACAGTACACACAGTACACACACACAGTACACACAGTACACACAGTACACAGTACACACACAGTACACACACACAGTACACACACACAGTACATACAGTACACACACACAGTACACACACACAGTACACACACAGTACACACACAGTACACACACACAGTACACACACACAGTACACACACAGTACACACACACAGTACACACACACAGTACACACACAGTACACACACACAGTACACACAGTACACACACAGTACACACAGTACATGTACACACACACAGTACACACACACAGTACACACACACAGTACACACACAGTACACACACACAGTACACACACACAGTACACACACACAGTACACACACACAGTACACACACACAGTACACACACAGTACACACAGTACACACACAGTACACACACAGTACACACACACACAGTACACACACACACAGTACACACACAGTACACACACACAGTACACACAGTACACACAGTACACACACAGTACACACACACAGTACACACACAGTACACACACACAGTACACACACACAGTACACACACACAGTACACACACAGTACACACACACAGTACACACACAGTACACACACAGTACACACAGTACATGTACACACACACAGTACACACACACAGTACACACACACAGTACACACACAGTACACACACACAGTACACACACACAGTACACACACACAGTACACACACACAGTACACACAGTACACACACAGTACACACAGTACACACACAGTACACACAGTACACACACAGTACACACACAGTACACACAGTACACACACAGTACACACAGTACACACAGTACACACACACACATAGTACACACACACACACAGTACACACAGTACACACACACACAGTACACACACACACAGTACACACACAGTACACACACACACAGTACACACACACAGTACACACAGTACACACACAGTACACACACAGTACACACAGTACACACACACAGTACACACACAAACAGTACACACACAGTACACACAGTACACACACACACAGTACACACACAGTACACACACACAGTACACAAAGTACACACATAGTACATGTACATACACACAGTACACACACACACAGTACATGTACATACACAGTACACACACACAGTACACACACACACACACAGTACATACACACACAGTACACACACACAGTACACACAGTACACACACAGTACACACACACAGTACACACACACAGTACACACACAGTACACACAGTACACACACAGTACACACACAGTACACACACACACAGTACACACAGTACACACATAGTACATGTACATACACACAGTACACACACACAGTACATGTACATACACAGTACACACACACAGTACACACACACACACACAGTACACACACACAGTACACACACAGTACACACAGTACACACACACAGTACACACACAGTACACACAGTATATGTACACAGTACACACAGTACACACACACAGTACACACACAGTACACACACACACACAGTACACACAGCACACAGTACACACACAGTACACACACACACAGTACACACACAGTACACACAGTACACACACAGCACACACAGCACACACAGTACACACACACAGTACATGTACACAGTACACACAGTACACACACACAGTACACACACACACACAGTACACACACAGTACACACACACAGTACACACACACACACAGTACACACACACACACAGTAGACACACACACAGTACACACACACAGTACACACAGTACACACACACAGTACACACACACACAGTACACACACAGTACACACACAGTACACACACACACAGTACACACACAGTACACACACACAGTACACACACAGTACACACACAGTACACACACACAGTACACACAGTACACACACAGTACACACACAGTACACACAGTACACACACAGTACACACACACAGTACACACACACAGTACACACAGTACACACACAGTACACACACACAGCACACACACAGTACACACACACAGTACACACACAGTACACACAGTACACACACACAGTACACACAGAGTACATGTACACACACACAGTACACACACAGTACACACAGTAAACACACAGTACACACACAGTACACACACACAGTACACACACACAGTACACACACACAGTACACACAGTACACACACACAGTACACACACACAGTACACACACACAGTACACACAGTACACACACACAGTACACACACACAGTACACACACAGTACACACACACAGTACACACACAGTACACACACACACAGTACATACACAGTACACACACAGTACACACACACAGTACACACACACAGTACACACACAGTACACACACACACAGTATACACAGTACATACACAGTACACACACAGTACACATACACAGTACACACACACAGTACACACACACAGTACACACACACACACAGTACACACACACACACAGTAGACACACACACAGTACACACACACAGTACACACAGTACACACACACAGTACACACAGTACACACAGTACACACACAGTACACACAGTACACACACAGTACACACACAGTACACACACAGTACACACACACAGTACACACACACACACAGTACATGTACATACACAGTACACACACACAGTACACACAGCACACACAGTACATACACACAGCACACACACACACACACACAGTACACACACACAGTACACACACACAGTACACACACACAGTACACACAGTACACACACACACAGTAGACACACAGTACACACAGTACACACACAGTACACACACATAGTACATGTACACAGTACACACACAGTACACACACACACAGTACACACACGTACACACACAGTACACACACACACACATACAGTCACACACACGTACACACACACAGTACATACACAGTACACACACAGTACACACACACACACGTACACACACACACGCACACATACACACACACACACACACGCACACACGTACACACGCACACACGTACACACACGTACACACACACACGTACACACGCACACACACGCACACACACATGTACACACACACACGTACACACACACACGTACACACACGTACACACACACGCACACACACAGGGTACACACACACGTACACACACACAGTACACGCACACACACGCACACACACATGTACACACACACACGTACACACACGTACACACACGCACACACACACAGTACACACACACGTACACACACACAGTACACGCACACGTACACACACACACACACGTACACACACACACGTACACACACACACACGTACACACACACAGTACACACACACAGTACACACACAGTACATACACACACGTACACACATACACGTACACACACACGTGTACACACACACGTGACACACACACAGTACACACGCACGTACACACACACGTACACACACCCACACAGTACACACACACAGCACACACACACACACACCCACACAGTACACACACACAGCACACACACACACACACGTACACACACCCACACAGTACACACACACACGTACACACACGTACACACACACCCACACAGTACACACACACACACGTACACACACACGTACACACACACACAGTACACACACGTACACACACGTACACACACGTACACACGTACACACATACACGTACACACGTACACACATACACGTACACACACACACACACGTACACACACACACGTACACACAAGTACACACACACGTACACACACACGTACACACAAGTACACACACACAGGTACACACACACAAGTACACACACACACACGTACACACACACACGTACACACACACACACGTACACACACACACGTACACACACACACACACACGTTCACACACGTACACACACACACACACACACGTACACACACACGTACACACACACACACGTACGTACACACACACACACGTACACACACACACGTACACACACACACAAGTACACACACACACACACGTACACACACACACGTACACACACACACGTACACACACACACACACGTACACACACACACACGTACACACACACACACACGTACACACACGTACACACACACACACACACGTACACACACACACGTACACACACACACACAGTACACACCCACACAGTACACACACACACGTACACACAGTACACACACACACACACGTACACACACACACGTACACACACACACACACACGTACACACACACAGGTACACACACACACGTACACACACACACGTACACCCACACAGTACACACACACGTACACACACGTACACACACACGTACACACACACAGTACACACACACACACACGTACACACACAGCACACACCCACACAGTACACACACACACAGTACACACACACACGTACACACCCACACAGTACACACAGTACACACACACACACACGTACGTACACACATACACAGTACACACACACACACACGTACACACACACACGTACACACACCCACACAGTACACACACACGTACACACACACACACACGTACACACACACACACACACGTACACACACACGTACACACCCACACAGTACACACAGTCACACACACACGTACACACACACACAGTCCACACACACGTCACCCCCCCCCAGTGCGCTACTCACTGCTGGACCTGGTGGCTGCAGTTGGCCCCGGTGAAGCTGACCAGCATGTGGAGCTTGTCGGCAGCGTAGTCCACGAACTGGCGCTTGAAGGCACGCTCCTTGGCACGCGAGGTCCACGTCAGCCGCTCGTAGACATAGAGGAGCCCGTAGAGGCCTAGCGACAGGGCGATCAGCCTCCAGCCTACCGCCTTCCACACCTACACAGTACACACACAGTACACACACAGTCCACGTCAGCCGCTCGTAGACATAGAGGAGCCCGTAGAGGCCTAGCGACAGGGCGATCAGCCTCCATCCCACCGCCTTCCACACCTACACACACAGTACACACACAGTACACACAGTACACACACAGTACACACACAGTACACGTCAGCCGCTCGTAGACATAGAGGAGCCCGTAGAGGCCTAGCGACAGGGCGATCAGCCTCCATCCCACCGCCTTCCACACCTACACACACAGTACACACACAGTACACACAGTACACACACAGTACACACACAGTACACACACAGTACACACACACACACAGTACACACACAGTACACACACAGTACACACACAGTACACACACACAGTACACACACAGTACACACACACACACAGTACACACACAGTACACACAGTACACACAGTACACACACACAGTACACACACACAGTACACACACAGTACACACACAGTACACACACAGTACACACACAGTACACACACAGTCCACGTCAGCCGCTCGTAGACATAGAGGAGCCCATAGAGGCCTAGCGACAGGGCGATCAGCCTCCATCCCACCGCCTTCCACACCTACACAGTACACACACACAGTACACACACAGTACACACACACAGTACACACACACAGTACACACACAGTACACACACAGTCCACGTCAGCCGCTCGTAGACATAGAGGAGCCCGTAGAGGCCTAGCGACAGGGCGATCAGCCTCCATCCCACCGCCTTCCACACCTACACACACAGTACACACACAGTACACACACAGTACACACACAGTACACACACAGTACACACACAGTACACACACACAGTACACACACAGTCCACGTCAGCCGCTCGTAGACATAGAGGAGCCCGTAGAGGCCTAGCGACAGGGCGATCAGCCTCCAGCCTACCGCCTTCCACACCTACACACACACAGTACACACACAGTACACACACAGTACACACACAGTACACACACAGTACACACACACAGTACACACACACAGTACACACAGTACACACACAGTACACACACACAGTACACACAGTACACACACAGTACACACACAGTACACACACACAGTACACACACAGTACACACAGTACACACACAGTACACACACAGTACACACACACAGTACACACACAGTACACACACACAGTACACACACACAGTACACACACAGTACACACACACAGTACACACACACACACAGTACACACACAGTACACACACAGTACACACACACACAGTACACACACAGTACACACACAGTACACACAGCACACACACACAGTACACACACAGTACACACACAGTACACACACAGTACACACACACAGTACACACACAGTACACACAGTACACACAGTACACACACACACAGTACACACACAGTACACACACAGTACACACACACAGTACACACACAGTACACACAGTACACACACAGTACACACACAGTACACACACACAGTACACACACAGTACACACACACAGTACACACACACAGTACACACACACACACAGTACACACACAGTACACACACAGTACACACACACACAGTACACACACAGTACACACACAGTACACACACAGCACACACACACAGTACACACACAGTACACACACAGTACACACACAGTACACACACACAGTACACACACAGTACACACAGTACACACAGTACACACACACACAGTACACACACAGTACACACACAGTACACACACACAGTACACACACAGTACACACAGTACACACACAGTACACACACAGTACACACACACAGTACACACACAGTACACACACACAGTACACACACACAGTACACACACACACACAGTACACACACAGTACACACACAGTACACACACACACAGTACACACACAGTACACACACAGTACACACAGTACACACACACAGTACACACACAGTACACACACAGTACACACACAGTACACACACAGTACACACACACAGTACACACACAGTACACACAGTACACACAGTACACACACACACAGTACACACACAGTACACACACAGTACACACACACAGTACACACACAGTACACACACACACAGTACACACACACAGTACACACACAGTACACACACACACAGTACACACACACAGTATACACACACACACAGTACACACACACACAGTACACACACACAGTATACACACACACACAGTACACACACACACAGTACACACACACACAGTACACACACAGTACACCACCCACCCACCCACTCACTCACCCACTCACTCACCCACCCACTCACTCACCCACTCACCCCCCCACCCACCACTCACCACCCCCCACCCACCACTCACCACCCCCCCCACCCCCACCCCCCCACCACCCCCCCCCCCCACTCACCACCCCCCCGATGACGAGCACCCCCATGGAAGTGCGTGAGGTGAGTGCGGCGACCCCCGTCACCATGGAGACCATCAGCTCCTCCTGCTGCGTCATGGAGCCCCCCCCCACGCACCCCCCCACGCCCCCCCCCACGGGGAGCAGCGGGGTCAGGGGGAGGGGCCGCGGGACCTGGGGGGAGGTCACGAAGAGGCCGGTTGCTATGGTTACACACACAGGGGTGAGTGAGTGGGTGAGTGGGTGAGTGGGTGGGTGAGTGGGTGGGTGAGTGGGTGGGTGAGTGAGTGGGGGGGTGAGTGGGTGGGTGGGTGAGTGGGTGGGTGAGTGGGTGGGTGAGTGGGTGAGTGGGTGAGTGAGTGGGTGGGTGGGTGAGTGGGTGGGTGAGTGGGTGGGTGAGTGGGTGAGTGGGTGGGTGAGTGGGTGGGTGAGTGGGTGAGTGGGTGAGTGAGTGGGTGGGTGAGTGAGTGGGTGGGTGGGTGAGTGAGTGGGTGGGTGAGTGGGTGGGTGAGTGGGTGGGTGAGTGGGTGGGTGAGTGGGTGGGTGAGTGGGTGGGTGGGTGGGTGAGTGGGTGGGTGAGTGAGTGGGTGGGTGAGTGGGTGGGTGGGTGGGTGAGTGGGTGGGTGAGTGGGTGAGTGAGTGGGTGGGTGGGTGAGTGGGTGGGTGAGTGGGTGGGTGGGTGGGTGAGTGGGTGGGTGAGTGGGTGGGTGAGTGGGTGAGTGGGTGAGTGAGTGGGTGGGTGAGTGAGTGGGTGGGTGGGTGAGTGAGTGGGTGGGTGAGTGGGTGGGTGAGTGGGTGGGTGAGTGGGTGGGTGAGTGGGTGGGTGGGTGGGTGAGTGGGTGGGTGAGTGGGTGGGTGAGTGGGTGGGTGGGTGGGTGAGTGGGTGGGTGAGTGGGTGGGTGAGTGGGTGAGTGGGTGAGTGAGTGGGTGGGTGGGTGAGTGGGTGGGTGAGTGGGTGGGTGGGTGGGTGAGTGGGTGGGTGAGTGGGTGGGTGAGTGGGTGAGTGGGTGAGTGAGTGGGTGGGTGAGTGAGTGGGTGGGTGGGTGAGTGAGTGGGTGGGTGGGTGGGGGGGTGGGTGTGGGGGGGTGGGTGGGTGGGTGAGTGGGTGGGTGAGTGGGTGAGTGGGGGGGTGAGTGAGTGGGTGAGTGGGTGGGTGAGTGGGTGGGTGGGGGGGTGGGTGAGTGGATGGGTGAGTGGGTGGGTGGGTGAGTGAGTGGGTGGGTGGGTGGGTGGGTGGGGGGTGAGTGGGTGGGTGGGTGGGTGGTTGAGTGAGTGGGTGGGTGGGTGAGTGGGTGAGTGGGTGGGTGGGTGGGTGAGTGAGTGGTTGGGTGGGTGAGTGGGTGAGTGAGTGGGTGGGTGGGTGGGTGGGTGAGTGAGTGAGTGGGTGAGTGGGTGGGTGAGTGGGTGGGTGAGTGGGTGGGTGAGTGGGGGGGTGAGTGGGTGGGTGAGTGAGTGGGTGGGTGGGTGAGTGGGTGGGTGAGTGAGTGGGTGAGTGGGTGTGTGGGTGAGTGAGTGGGTGAGTGGGTGAGTGAGTGGGTGGGTGAGTGGGTGAGTGGGTGAGTGAGTGGGTGGGTGAGTGAGTGGGTGAGTGGGTGAGTGGGTGAGTGAGTGAGTGAGTGAGTGGGTGAGTGGGTGAGTGAGTGAGTGAGTGAGTGAGTGGGTGGGTGAGTGGGTGGGTGGGTGGGTGAGTGGGTGGGGTGGGTGGGTGAGTGGGTGAGTGAGTGGTTGGGTGAGTGGGTGGGTGAGTGGTGGGTGGGTGGCTGAGTGAGTGGGTGGGTGGGTGGGTGAGTGGGTGGGTGGGTGGGTGAGTGGGTGAGTGGGTGAGTGGGTGAGTGAGTGGGTGGGTGAGTGAGCGAGCGAGTGGGTGGGTGGGTGAGTGAGCGGGTGGGTGGGTGGGTGAGTGAGCGGGTGGGTGGGTGGGTGGGTGAGTGAGCGAGTGGGTGGGTGGGTGGGTGAGTGAGTGGGTGAGTGGGTGAGTGAGTGAGTGAGTGGGTGAGTGGGTGGGTGAGTGAGTGGGTGAGTGGGTGAGTGAGTGAGTGAGTGGGTGGGTGGGTGGGTGAGTGAGTGGGTGAGTGGGTGAGTGAGTGAGTGAGTGGGTGGGTGGTTGGGTGAGTGAGTGGGTGGGTGGGTGGGTGAGTGGGTGAGTGGGTGAGTGAGTGGGTGGGTGAGTGAGTGGGTGAGTGGGTGAGTGAGTGAGTGAGTGGGTGAGTGGGTGGGTGAGTGAGTGGGTGAGTGGGTGAGTGAGTGAGTGAGTGGGTGAGTGGGTGGGTGAGTGAGTGGGTGAGTGGGTGAGTGAGTGAGTGAGTGGGTGGGTGGGTGAGTGAGTGAGTGAGTGGGTGGGTGGGTGAGTGAGTGAGTGAGTGGGTGGGTGGGTGAGTGAGTAGGTGGGTGGGTGAGTGAGTAGGTGGGTGGGTGAGTGAGTGGGTGGGTGGGTGGGTGAGTGGGTGAGTGGGTGAGTGAGTGAGTGGGTGGGTGGGTGAGTGAGTAGGTGGGTGGGTGAGTGAGTGGGTGAGTGGGTGAGTGGGTGAGTGGGTGAGTGAGTGAGTGAGTGGGTGGGTGGGTGAGTGAGTAGGTGGGTGGGTGAGTGAGTGGGTGGGTGGGTGGGTGAGTGAGTAGGTGGGTGGGTGAGTGAGTGGGTGAGTGAGTGAGTGGGTGAGTGAGTGGGTGAGTGAGTGGTTGGGTGAGCGAGTGGTTGGGTGAGTGGGTGAGTGGTGAGTGAGTGGGTGAGTGGTTGGGTGAGCGAGTGAGTGGGTGAGTGAGTGAGTGTGTGAGTGTGTGGGTGAGTGAGTGAGTGTGTGGGTGAGTGAGTGAGTGGTTGGGTGAGTGAGTAAGTGGTTGGGTGAGTGGGTGAGTGAGTGAGTGGGTGAGTGGGTGGGTGAGTGAGTGG